AAGACTTTTCAAAGAATGTTTAAAACGGTACACACTTTAGGGCTGAGGCCTCAAGTGCGCGGCAGTGACGCGGCAAACACCACACGAACATAGAAAGCGGAAAAACTGAGGGGCAACTCTCCAATCCGCTGCATCTCTCCTCCAAAGGTGGACTCAAATGCCAGCCTTTGAGGTCTTTGCCAACTTTAATTGCACCACACCCTTATTACACAGCAATAAGGTTCAAATTCGTCATCAAAAGCAATTAGTCTCGTAATTCTCGTAAATAACTTGAGAGGTGAGAGACATAAATCTTTTGGTTTCAGCCCCTCGTGTCGTGTTTTATTTAGGGATAGCTGAAAATGCTTAGCTTTTTATGCCGTGGTATTGCGGCATCGACAGCGGCTTTATGAGTTTATTGGTGCCTATAATTCTTTGATGCCGTTTCTTGTGATTGAATTGAGTTGTAAAGACCTTTGGGGTACGTCAATTGAACAAGTGAGTGAATAAGGCTCTCGATATAGCAGGGTAATAAAACGAAAATGACCTGGCCTAGTAATTTAAATGGTTAATTAAAAATTTAAAACGAATTTTCTTCCTACATTTTTATGGCTATTAAACTTTTGTTTAAATTGTCATAAGTAAAAAAGTCTGCAACCTCAGACTTAAGAACTATAGCTTAATAAAAACAAAATAGATTTTAAAGCGACGATATGAGTTGGGAAAAGGTAAAACAAAACACTCATCCGCAGGAGCGTACAGCCGAAAGTGCGACGAGGCGCAAAAACGAATAAGATATTATCTTCACAGTATGGCGACGTCGACTCGAAAGCTTTTTGCTGGAAAAAAATCTCGATCAATATTCGAGGGGAAGGGGGGCCTTTCGCATAATTGGTTGGCTGGATATATTTATGCTGCTGATACCGAAATCGGGTCGGCTACGATAAAGACAGGTTGCTGTATAAAGTAAGAGAATAACAAAAGATTTGGAAGCTCTTACTGTTTTTACGAAGACCTGAATAAGGGTTTCACTTTGTACGAAGTTGAGTGCGTAAGAGAAAATTGTCTTTGAGCACTAAAGAATGTATATATCTTACTCTTTAACACCCTGTCACAACAATAGCGTTCAAGGGATCAAATACTAATACAATCATAGCAAACAAACGTCATGATATGCTCCAATCATTTAATTAGATATCCATGCTTCCAGGGATAAATCAATCTAATCAAGGGAACTAATTTGATTATATGATAAATGTCAGTGGACTTTGGCAGGTGACATCTTGTCAGCTGAATGTCAACAATGACATGTAACAGATCTGTCACTTTGAGGTGAATACTAAACTGTCGACACTGCACTAATAATGGATCAGGTTTCATGCTACACATGGCGTTGTAAATTGTGAATAGACTTAAAAAGAATCTTATGCATTTTTAAAAGATAATACGTATACATAAACCAAATTTTGAAATGTTTGTGTGATAAGATATTTGATATCTACATGAATACTTAATTAAATATGTGATAATATAAATATCTCCTTACAGCTATTCTAGAACCTTTTCGTCACAATGACATGAGACTATAATACTAACTGTCAACAACCGGCCAATCAGGAGCGTGGACGTCAACGACAGCGATGACGTCCCTTTTTGTCTATCAATCACATGTGCCCGTCATCTTTGACTGCATTATCTGATATGAGTGTAGACACATTGGCACCAAAGCTAATGTCGTGAATAAAAATGACGTTTGCAAAAACAATATAAATCCTAATTTAAATAAGGGTGAAAATCGATTGACATTCAGAGTTCAACTATCCCGTTAACGACTCTTGTTTATAGGAATCGTTGGAAAAGCAAATTGTTAATCTTAGTTATGCGTATAGAATAACTCCTAATTCGATAAAAAAATACTGAACCGTTGCATTTGAGACCGCTGAAAAACAAATATTGTGAAACGAATCAAGGGCATTTTGGCAAAGAATATCTACTAATAAAACCAAAAGCAACATATTTGAGACTGGATTCCACATAAATATCATAATATCTTTATAGATAGCTATTACGTATTAAATTACACGCCGCTATCATCAGAATTAATACTCGATAGTAAAAATATCTATATTTATTTTATTCGCCATATTAATTTATCGAGCAAAAACTACACTTCAAATTTCAGAAAGCGCACTCCTGACTCCTGATAGACTAGAAACAAACAAAAACTACATCAATTCCCTACCTACTGTTAGCGCTATGACGTCAGAAGCGCACGTGTTGCTCAAGAATTTTTTCGAGTTACCTGAGTAATTACGGGAACAAAGGGTAGCGCTTTGTCGAGCCCTACATTAAAGTGCCGCTTATAGCAAACAAATTAAATGCAATATACAGTGCTAAGTGCGAAGACGAGCCGACGTGTACTCTTCTACTTATAATCTCAGCTCAAAGGCGGCTGGCCACTCGTTCTTGCGTACGGTAAACAACACGTAAAGCTTTATTTAATTCCTACAATTCCATACGTCCAAGTAACATCGCTACCTCGCACAACTTTGTCTCCCGATCCACGATTTAAATAAATATTTTCAACTCGTATTTATTTCACACTATCTCATTCATGCACTCAATGTTTGCCGTTTTTATCGGAATCGCAACTCCGCTCCGAATGTAGGAACATATGCATACATACCTATTAGCATCTTTTTGTATGAAACAAAACGTTGATAAATATTAAAGAAAATTAAGTGCAACCATAATACAGGGTGTTTACATTTGGAAAGTTGCTTGAATGCTATATGAAAGTATACACTCACGGTCCAATAACAAAAGCGCAATTTATTTTTTTACAATTACCAACATTTTTCGATTCGAGCGTGAACCGCGATATACGCTTTTGATCATTCAATCGACATCTCTCCTTTCACTTTCGTTCATTAGGTTGAAGTTCGGTTTCACAAAATTCCCGACTTACCTGGCAACATTGATTATAGCGGTCAATAATAACGCCACAATTACCATCGCGAGATGTGTAATTTTGTGTTTGCAACACGCAATTTCTGTGAAACCAATCATGTTGACATCCTTGTCATGAGGTAAATCACGGCCGTCATTTTGAAGACATTTTGTCATTCGCTTACCTTAACTTCTGTTCTGCCGAAGAAGGAACAATAAATTGAAACTAATTAGTTATCCTTTGTGTAATTCAGATACTTACCTTCGCTTCAGCTGTAAGAAATACATAATTAGAAAACGTGAAAATATTAAAGTACTTCAAATTTTCGAACATTGGTATAAATTTATCAGTTAATAAATTAAAACAACTCGGTAATACCAGTCGTCAGCCGTCAAAACGAGTGATGATAAAAAAACGGATGATGAAAACGAATAAATAAAATTCAACTTATAAAACAGTCGCAATGCAAAATGTTGATAAGTCGATACTGAGCAAAGCGAGGCGGTATCGGGACTACATTAAATTCGCATTAGCTTTCAACTACCGGTTTGTTTAAGACTTATTTTATGCGTTTGACACACTTGAGTTCTGGTTTGAGTCACTGCTGTATTGTAACTCACATACTAGCACCACTACATACATACTTATGTGCGGGACGAGTGTCCTCTCTGTGACGTCGCAACGAGATAAAATCATCTTTGTGTGTCAATTAAACTTTAAAAAATTACATTTTTCTGACCATCAATGGATTTAACGAGCGTTTAAATATTTTTTCAGACTGTTTTGGTTTCAAAAATGCATTAAAACTAACGATTTGTGTCATTACGTTCACCCAAACAGAGTTGTAACGTTTAATTTCATTAAAATATGTTGATTAATCCCAAAATCTTAATGTTATTCACGCCTATAGGTCTCGTACGTCCGATTATACTGAAGTTTTAGAACTTCATTTCAATAAACGAAAGATTAAAGTTAAACATTTGAGACTAATGGAAACTTTACACTGCTTATGTATCTACTTTGATCGATAATAATAAAATTCAGAAACCTTTTTATGTCTTTACCTCATTTAAATAATCACAATTTTGTTTGTTCATCTAATAAATAACATAAATTTATATGAGACATCGAAGCGCGTTTCATGTTTTCGTTCCATATATTTTGAAATAGACTAGTCTTGTGCATTTTATTAGACGCTTACGAAAAATGATTAGGAAATTAATTATGGGACTTAACAGGCCGGGTTGATTTGCATAGTTTTTAAAGAAAGTTACATCCGACATCGGAACGTAAGTACCTAAATGTCGAAGAGAACATTCCGAAGCAGGTATCTTATCTCGAATATTGGTTGTAATCATACTCAAGCATATTCTAACGTCTTGATCAGTATGCTAATGAGGCGGCTACCTACGCGTGAAATAACACCTCTCGATTTGTAAAGTACCGAATATAAAATCGATATTATACTACCGATACTACCAATACTATCGATTACGATTACATCTCTGCCCGATGAATAATTTTAAAAATTGTTCTTTGTTTAAATTCAAATTTGGAACGCGAGGTTAGTAAATTATTAAAGATGTTTTTTTTTTATTTATTGAAAAGGTAGGTAACACAAGTGTATCAACAAGCTTAAAATAAAATCTTCGATAAAGAATCCTCTATCCATGTTTTGGAAAAAGGCCGATAAATTGCAATAATAATGGACAAAACAGAATTAAACAGTTAATAAATTAATAAACATCGTCTGAGCCACAATACACTGAAATTATTTAAAAGAGATATTTGAACTTCTTTCAACACCATACAAATAGTTTTTTATTGTCTTTAGCTGTAGTAGTAGTAGCAACCTTGATCATGACTTTAAATTATTGTGTGGTAGTAAAACGTACACAAAGCTATCAAGCGCTGAAATATCTTGATCAGATTTTCAACTTTAAACTTTTCAAATAAAGCCAAAAATCTATTGAAGATATGATACGATATGGTATATCTTCAAATGCTGACGTCAGTACTGTATAGGGTTGAAAGAATGAGCCGCAAAAGTGTTATTGGAAACGTATATTACCTGTAAAACTCGTTTCGGCAAGCCAGTCTTCTGACTCAGCTGCTTGAGGTCTTTCGCGTCGGGGTTGTGGTTGATTGCGAAATACGACTTCATTGTCCGCAACTGATGGTGCTTGAAGCTGGTGCGCATGCGTTTGGTGCGCGAAGATGACCCCAGACCAGCACCACCCCGGAACCCCATCTCGAGGTATTCCGGATTCAAATCTGATTGAGCAATAGTTACAATGCTAAATACCAAATTTGTGCACAACATCATTTGATTTAATATTCATAAATAATCTATTTACCTATATACAAAGAAAATAGAATTTTCTCCTCCAAAAAAGAATGTAAAATAATCGATTGCAAGTGATAAGTTTGCCAACAGTGATATTTAAACAAGGAACAACCGTTCGTTGTTTAAATTTCTCTGTGGGCAATACCAAACATAGACAATGTTAGCACACAAATAATTAGCTTTAGCTGTTAACATATTATAACAAGAACAAGTTATTAACAACATTAAAGTCGTTCGCATCGCACAATTCGCAAAATAAAAATTGCATCTACATACAGTTATGTAAGTGTGACAGAAAAACTCGATCGGCAACTATCAATACTTATACGAAATTATCGTAATTTGCTTTTATATCTGCTCAGTGCATAATAATGCCAATATTTACATGTTTATATTTAATTATGTTAATTGTTATTGTCTGTATTACGGCCGTAAATGGCTATAAAGATAATTTTGTATGGAAAACGTAATATGTATCCGCGCAATGTTTTTATTTTCGTAAACGTATTTGACTAGAATTAACGCGGCGACAATGTACGCATTCTTTAATTAGTTGTCTGTGTTACAAGTTTAACATTTTTCACTCAAACAACGTTGTTATTGGGTAATCTAACAAAATATATTACTCGCGGTAAACAAAACTCCTGCGGCACTCATTACAAAATTTACTGAGACGTTAATGATCGCGTATTTGTTCACGAACTATTCAACAATCTGCAATTAAATAACTGCGAAATGTCAATAGATCTATAAACCTGAAATTCATAAAATACAAGTGAAAGGCACTGTTAAACTAAATCACTTAACAAAAGAGGACTAGAGGACGAGAAAACAGAACAAAATGTCGAAAATATTCCAACTGCAACGAAACGCGGCAAAACTCAAACAAAGGACGTAAAAATCAAAGAATCGTCAATCATTAGCGTCGCGCTAGTCCACCATGTTATTTCATAAAACGCGGACGCCCTTAATTTTCTGAAAATAATACAAGAGTCGCCGGACTAAAAAACCTTTGAGCTGCTCAAACAACCTTTGAGCTGCCCCATAGTAGCGTGGCGTGACCTAAGCGAGATTTGGCTTTTATTTCGTACTACGATTGAAAGCTTCATCCTTCATTCAATATTTCAACAGCTGAACAAAAAATCCTATTCGCGTTGCAATTGAAAACGTATCAATAAAAACAAATGCATATACAAATCTAGTACTTCAATTTGCGCGTTCTTTCAAGACCGACGTCAAAACGGGTCCGCTCAAAATCCTCACGCATGGCAGGCCTACAGTCATAAATCGATCGTAACACGCACGCCGCATTGTTTTCCGTTACAATACGAACCGTGACGTCCCCGTGACGGAGTCGGCACGGTGCCGCGACTTCGTTTTAACGACCGATAAATACTGCTAATAAATAAACTTAGCTTACGGCGATGTTTACAGAAACGCTTTGAGATTTGCGGTTAAGGGTATCGGACAGCGCGGCAGCGGCTGGAAACCAGCTCGACAATCGCGTATTTGGCAATACATTAAGTATAATTGTCGCGAAATGATAGTGGTAACCGCTGTGATTGATACTGAATAATTTAATTTGTAAACTAACAACTCGGATGTCAGTTCGTACGTAATCTTATCCGACCGAGTTACGGTATTTTGCGAGCGTGTTTCTGCATCCTATATCGATACATTTTGTTTTTCGTCAACTTTGATACCGAACTGACAAGTGACAATTAGTCAAGAATTTCTGTGAACGCTCGAAGGAACCTTTGCATAATCACTATTGAAGTGAACTACGAGCTGTTTGTGGTAATCCAACAGAGGATATTTAACCAAAAGTAATTCATCGTTTAATTCATTTTAGAATACACATATACATTTTAGAATAAACTTAGTTTTAAACAAACAGCCTTTTGTAAATTTTCAGTAATACGAGTGGTCTAATGTCTTAAGTGTTTAACAATTAAAAAATACTATTAAGGGCATGGTATTTAATCCCACACACTTTAGTCATTTTTGGCAGTTCATCTGAATAAAAACCTCTTTAACTGAGCTTAGATTATGCTTAAGGTACTCAGTCCTATTCATTCCTATCACTGAGGGAATGATACGTAGTAGTTTGTAGTCTGTTGGGCAAATAAGCAGAGAGCATATTTAAGTGAGAATGTACAAAGGCTTTTGTGACTTTAAAATTATGAAATCACTTAACTTTATTTCGGAATTATAGGAAGCTTAAATTCAAGGAAACCTGGTTTAAATAAGGGGATAAAATTAAAAAAAAACTGTTAGTTAAAGATCATTAATTTTCCAATAACAGTTGATTACCTTTCATATGGAACCACTTTTGTTTTAATATAAGAAACGTCTTGTATTTTACGTAATTCCTTTGATTATACATTTTCTACGTAATAAATCAAAGACTGAATCATTAGTACCTTAATCACAATTAATCTGCACTCTGGAATGATAGAATCTTACATATTTATTATTTTTTCTAGGAATTTATCTTTCTCTAAGCAATTTAATACTGTAATTTCTAGTGCAAAAGTAAGTACCCTATATTATCAGACGTAATTGTATTAAGAAATTGCGTACTTTGTCTCAATATAAATTAGTTAAATGTTTACAAAATAAACACCAACACTATGTAAATATTATATAAGTACTTACTTAAATTATTAATTAATCAAAAAATTAAGATGTTGTAGGTATAAAAAACGTTTTTTCTCTATCGATCGTATCGTATAGGACATCGTATAGGACAACTATGTTCTTGTTATTAAAAAAGCAAAATTATTACCTATTTAATTTTGTAATAAAAAATATTATAATTTTATTTTCAATTATCCAATGTAGTAATAACGAGAACTTGCTGTCTGAACTAATATCTAGAACCAACTGACTATTTGATAGAACAGTTTGTTCCCCTGCAAAGTTTACATTTCTTCGAAGTATTTTTTTTATATAAAAAAGGATTTCCAACGAAAGGCTGACTAGGCCGGATTCGCGTCAAAAGGAAAATTCTCTTACAACAAAATTTGCAGAAAAATCTTTATCCTCTTTGTGTAACACAGTTTTTTCATCTGCTTCAGATTTTCTTCTGCAAAGATATTTCGATGAATAACTTCATTTCATGAATCATTACTAATTTATACCAAATCATAATTTCACTCGGCTACCTACTACAAATAAAAAATTGAGATTATGTATTTGATTTCTAAAAAAAATATCAATAAAAAGTAAAGTTAGTATAATTAATGAATAATAAAAATTATTAAACGACCGTACGAGTTTATCAGCGTGGCCAGTAAAAAAAACACGTACTACCAACCGTCATTTACATTCAAATATCGAATGACATTCTGATTTTAATACTTCGAAATTTAAAATTGACAATTTATTTATTTTTAACCGCAAGTGTGCGTTCCAGAGTCGGAACAATTAGCGTGTAAGTAATTATGCGGGGGCCCGTAGCCGCGACATAATGGCCGCGACCGATATGTAAAACGAACCGCGTATTCGAACGTACCATGCAGTTTTTGATTTCTTAAAAGTCGAAGCCAAATATTATAAACTTATTTTTACGGATTCATATAAATTCAGACACGAAATGTGGCTTATCGAGTAGGTATGGGTAATTTATTTATTAATTATAAAAGAAGCTGACTCAAGTTACTTTTTTTGGCTATGGTGCCATAACAATTCTAAACAATAAAAATACGGCTGTGTATTAAATTCCTGCTTACTCTCAACGCGTAAGAAGCGCGAACATAAAAACACACAATTCACACTGATCGTGCGATGCGCAGCGTTGACGCCCGTCCTGTGTTTGTTCGACATGATTTACTCCACAAGCACTGATAACTCCCACCAACCAACGAAGACCTCTCAAAAACTATGTCAACACCCTTCTTAGCCATAAATGTATTTTAACAAGGGAAGTGAGGAAGGTCAATGTATGCTGGTTGGTCCAACGCAGCCTGAGGCGTTCGTGCTCCAAGTTGATGATACGGTCTCCGCAAACAGAAAGTGAGACATGCAATTTTTTTAAGTCTTCAGATGTTAGGGAAACGGCATTATAATTTAAGAACAAAAATCTATGCGTAAAATCTTTGACTTGGGCAGGAGATAATTAAAATGCAAGCAACTCTTGGCATGAGTAAATATAATATTAGGCAAGAAAGACGTTTGCTTATTTTTTTAAACTGTAGTGGAGTAACAAACATGGTTTAAAGCAAATAAACAACAGTTATTCATCAGTTGAATGGCGGCATCTCTCAAAGCTCAGATATAGCGTGTTAAGGTTAAATATGAACAGTAACGTGTCGGGTTAACAATTGTGCATTATAATGACGGGTTCTCAACCACTCACTACCAGACCAGAACCATAATAACACACGCAATTTTTAAATCCCGAGTAATGTTAGTAATTGCTACCAAAACAACCCGTATAACAATACCAATAAAATAAAAAAAATCTGCAAATTACATAAGAAAACAGAAAAAATCACTCACAAATTAAAACAATAACGAACTCAACCCATAAATCTAGCCAATCACAAAACGCATCTAGTGATGTACCTACCATCTGACACGTCAACTATCGATAAACATCGACACAAAACGTCGCGTCTTGAAAGAAGACGTTATTAATAGATTGAGACACAAAATTGTGAAGATAACGCAGGCCGAAAAAAAAAACAAAAAATACCGGGTGGGTTATAAAAAGAATTGTGATATCATAAATCGTACGTACCATTCATGTTTTTAAGGCCGAAAGAAAAAAAAGGAGATTTCCTTAACGATAACACTTCGTCCGGTGGCCACATTTTTTTTGTAATAGCAAAAACGAAACGCCGAAGTGGTTGACCGCGGTAATAAAGGTAATAGGTATGTTTCTTTATGACAGAATCATTGTTTTTATTAATTTGGTACTGTA